TTTGTGGTGAGCTACAGTGTCATTGACACTTTCATTTGTGGTGAGCTACAGTGTCATTGACACTTTCATTAATTCATCATGCAGTGCATATAGATTTGCAAACAGTGCAGTCTTATAGTCAGATGCAAAATATTTGAATAAAATAATAATTTTTATGGTGTTCTTGCCCTGTTCTGACCAAGATGTAATTTGTAGGTTTACATATTTTATTGAAATAACGGAAATGTAGCAATCTACATGTACGTGCAACAGTTACATTACCATCCAAAGACAAGAGGCTCGTGTTATTGTGAGAACTTATTTAAATCTTTTATTTAGTATGTTATAATCAATAAATAAATGTCGCCTAAGCCGAATTGAGAAGAAAAAAGAAACATGTTCCCCTGTACATGCAGCATTGATGCTGGATTAACATGTAAGACGCAGTAGTACTACAAAAATATTACAAAGACTGCTACAAGACTTACTCTTGTGTCATCATCATATCTGTTTAACGTCCATGTTCCACATGCTAGCAGGATATAGATGTGTATAGATAGATGTTAGTGCATGGAATACGATTCGTGTATAGCTATATGCCTGTTGTTACGGCAAAGCGGTAGCCGTATGTATTGTAAATGAATGTGCACGGTAGAGCCGAAAAATCTATATGAAAGCATAATCACCAGTAGTTTATTTTATTGTTTTCTCAGCTACGCGGCATACAAAGTCCAACATGCGCGCACACAAGAAACGGCGAGTAATTACTTAATAAACACATTCAGGAATAACATCCGTATATACCGTGAGTCTAATAAGGAATTATTATAGTGATTAAAATCAATATTAATATTCCTTGTTGTCTTACTCCCGATATATTAAACAGTTCAACGTATGTAACAGTTAGTGGCAAGAGCGCCGTATATATATAGTATCCATATGTACCGGATTACACACCGCACAAAGGGGATAGAAACGGGCGATCATTTCCTATCACCACGAATAAGCGCATTAGGAAAGGCACGGAGAACTTGTAAAACAGTAATTAACCTCTCGAGTAATCGCGAGCTCACTCCACCATGCAGATGAATGAGATCCGTAGAAACCTGTTGTGCACAATACAAGCAAAGGCCAAATGCCAATCATCCACAAGGGAATCTTGGTAGAGATGACAATGATTTACGAGGACAGCAGAGGTTCTCATGTCCTCTTGAAAAATATTTGTGGTACACATTAATAGTTCTAAAAGCCATCCTCCCGATAAACACACGTTCCTGCGAGCTGTCCCATACAACGGCGAGAACCGACGGTAGTATCTATTCATATATAGGCCTATGCTGGACTAGACAAGTACACGGGACGAGAGCAAAGCAGTGAAGATGCTGAGTAATATGTTAAAAATAAAGTATTTCTTTGTACGGAGAAATGTTACGTCACATGTAACATGCCATATGTCGCATGCATATATATTTGAGGGACTATCGAGTGTAAAAGGAAACGACACATGTTACACACGCACAAAGCGTCTGCACATAGCGTCAGTGAACCTGATCTTTCGCCCCTAGAACCAGGGCCGGCGGAGCCGGTCTGGCCAGTCCGGCCGGACCAATAATTTTTACGATCATGATTTTTTTCAAGCACACATTTTCGTTATGCACAGGCCGGATCTACAATTATTGCAATCCCGAGCATATAATGATCTCAAATCACATATAGTTTATGTATACACGCATATATACTACTACATGACTATAGTACCGGTAATAAACTGAAGAATGTTTAGAAGAAGACATGTGTTAATCTCTTTAATTGCTGATACTGTACCAGAAACGATCGTCTGCTGCTCGGCCATTGTGAGCGCCATTGTTTATGTCCGTTCAATATAATTATTATTATATAATTATTCAATATAATTAGTTCAATATAAGCGAACGATCGTTTTCTGCATTGCGACGACTAAAAACATATCTGCGCTCTACAATGACGCAACTGCGTCTAAATAACGTGATGCTGCTTAAAGTGATTACGTCACCGTAAATAGTAAAAAAAAAGTCACAAAATATAAGTAATTTTGTTCACTTTTTATGGTTAAATTGCTGCATTATACTTCTTATTTTACTATATTGTTCGATGTAAACATACACTCGTGACTCATACATAGCCCATAGCAAGCAATTAATGTCAGGAACACTAATATCAAATCGTCCAGGTTTTTAGGTCTGAATCTAAATTACCAATCTTATCAGGTAAGAATTTGACGATACGTTTAGTCCCGTTAGTTCTTACTTTTAATGTAAAAAAATGGCAACAAAAATTTAACAAATTTTACCATAGAAAATTCGTGACGTAGTCAATTTAAAGTATCTTCATGTAACCTGATAATTATTAACGAGAGTTAAATATATGAAACGAACTATATGCAATTATGAAACTGGGCCAAATATTCCTGTGCGATGATCGTGATTTTTTATAAACCTATCAACTGCTTTCTCCAAGTCCAAACTGTCCAATTTCTCTTTGTGCACAAAAATTTGACATGTAAATTGGCAGATGCCGAAATGATTAGGCCTATACTGAAGTATAAATATATATTTGTTAGAGTTTTGAAAAGTATTTTTAAGCTCTAAAAAGGCATCTTGGTGTCTTAAATTTTAAAAATTTCCCCCAAACCCCCCTTTGATGAGGGGGAAACCCCCCGTAGAGCCCCCCCGCCACGGCTGCGCCGTGGGCACCTGGTCAGGAGTGTTTCATGTTTATAAACGTTGACGTCATATGCACGCACGCGCGCACGTGTACGTGCACACGCACACATGCACGCACGTGTACGCACGCACGCACGCACGCACGCACGCACGCACGCACGCACGTATACGTGCACACGCACGCACGTTTACGTGCGCACACGTGTACGTGCACACGCACGCACACACGCACGCATGCACGCACGTGTACGTGCACAGGCACTTGTAGGGGCCTACGTGTCACGCGCGCACGCTCGCACGCCCGCACGTGTACGTGCACACGAACGCAAACACGCACGCACACACGCACGCACGCACGCACGCATGTGTACGTGCACGTGCACACGCACGCACGTGTACGTGCCCACGCACGCACGCACGCACGCACGCACGCACGCACGCACACACACACGCATGCACGCACGTGTACGTGCACACGCACGCACGCAGTACGCACGTGTACGTGCACTACATAAACAGCGCTTTCTATCAGAACATGTAGTCATTCATCTCTAAATGTCAAGCAGCACGCTTCGCTTCTGCCAACCATGACACATAACAAATACACGTGACCTGATCTATGACGTCACGTGAAACACTCCTATTGATGCTAAATGGCCTGACCAATGTTTATTTGCTTCCGCCGGCCCTGAGAACAGCAATCGTTGCCTGCATGCATGGTTCAGGTTGCGTCGGACATAACCTGGGAGTCTGCTACAGTGAGGCGCCTGTAATGCTTGCTGTGTGCACCACAACCACTGATCTATATACTACTGTTTACAACTGTTGCTCATAGGGTCTATGTCCTTCAGGGTACTGCCGGAACGTACCCTGGGTACGGTCCGGTATACAGGAACGTACCCTGGTAACTATCTGATATGGTTAGGGTTAGGGTTAGGGAGTAGGCGAGGTACGGTCCGGCATATTAGATAGTACCAGGGTACGTTCCTGTACCCAGGGTATGTTCCGGCAGTACCCTGGGGGACATAGACCCTCTCAGCGTAACTGTTAGTATATAGAGATCACAAACTGCATGCAGCGCCCCCTTCGTACAACGTTCTCCGGATACGAGCCAGAGCAAGAGCGCCATTTGTCGTGGAGTTTGTAGAGATCAGTGGCCACTACTCGTTGATCGGCTGCTAGTTAGATACTCGCTGTAACGAGTGGCGCCACCTGGCAAGCCAGACACAAATGTGGGTTACGGGTTTCCCGTTAACGGAAGTGAATAAAAGCAAATGTGCTTCATTCGCTTTTGACTTAAAGCTACGAAAATAGCTCCCCTGTATCAAGGTCATATTGTCATATTTTACAGTGTACTTTAAAATGCGTAGCCTTGTATGCCTCATATACTCGCGCACGCACGCACGCACGCACGCGCGCGCGCGCAAACACACACACACACACACACACACACACACACACACACACACACACACACACACACATTCACACACACACACACACACACACACACACACACACACACACACACACACACATGCACGAACTTGAGCCCACGGCAAAAGTATTGCAGTTCTTCGTTTTGTTTCTAATATTGCTGTTGTTATAATTGTATGATTGTTATTAGGGTATCGAGGTAATCGAGATGTGCGAAGAGAGATATCTCTCACTTTAAATGTATTTACAGCCCACGCCCCTGTATTATATATTATATGTTGACGCCGTTAAGCCAGTTAAGCTGGTTATAGTACCATAACTACTCACCTAACTCACCCAGACGCTTGTACGTTGCACGATCAAATACCACTATCATTCACATGTCAACATCACAAGCCTCAGATCACAACGACAAAGATCAATTTCAGCTGTTTCCACGCAGTGTACAGTTACCCAGTCGTCACACCGAATTTCTTCAGGAATAAGTTCTATTGTAGAATGAACTACTTCTTCATTTCCGATAATTGTGCAGATCGTTGGGCTGGCTGATCCGCTTGGTCATGCCCCTCGGTCTCATCAGCGTGGGCTTCGCGGTTTGAATTGAATCTGTAATCAGTAAACAGTTTCTAAAGTTCAGGGATGAATCTTTTGAAGTGAGAGAGTAAGAGCTCATGAATGAAATAGAGAGGAATAGAGAACGACGGCGTGTATGTGAGATTTAGCGATAGAAGGAGAGAAAAAAACAGAGAGACCGCCTGGCCGCGAAATAGAGAGACAGAGAGACCGCGAGACCGCGAGACCGAAAGACAGAGAGACAGACGGACAGACAGATGGAATGGGGGACGGATGGGCGGACGGGCGGGCGGGCAGCATAGTAAGCAGCATGGCAGTAAAGCGCAATTATTTACCGCCGCATTGCTCGGCTGCCTTCCATCACGGCGTGAAGGGCAAGGTCACCTCTGTAGACGAGCCGAGTAGCAGCTTCTACGTCCTTATGTGTGATCGTGCTCCGTTTTGAGATATTCACTAGAAGACAGGTCTCGAGTAAGAGTCGCTCAAATACGTCCCACACGAGTCCGTTCATTGTGCTCATGCCCAGCTTAGACATGCTCTTGCCAGGATGCACTTGCTGAAGAACCTTAAGCACAAGAATTTGGGTAAAGGGTTCGCTTCGCGTTTGTCAAACACGCGTGCAAATAAATGATTATTAGAACGCATACAGACATAAACGTGTACGAACTCACATGTGCACACACTCGTGTGCGCACTCATGAAGAGACGCGTATGTGCGCATGCACGCACGCACCCGCGTACGCAAGCACGCACGCACGCAAGCACATACGCACACACAATCATCTTCAATTAGTACGCACAGCAGAAGACTGCTTTATAGTCAGCAAGTCTTACATCATCTCGATGGCTACCTGGAAGATATATGAGTTGAAACTTTCCTTTCTTCTCTTCTTTCTCTTTTGACGCGTTTGTTCAGAACCACACTGACGTGCAGGCGCTTCTCCCGCTGCCGCATCCTGCACAACACGATGTCCTCGTGGCTTCATCGCTATACAAAATATCGCGTAAATATAGTAATACAAACTCGTGCAGAAAATAAATCACACGGTGTATTCTACGTATCCCAACAACAAATAAACACGCAACTTAACGACAGAAACAGAGAAAGCCGCTACTTATATAAGCAAGCACTCGAGGTGAGTGTAGCTGAGCGTGAATCGAACAAAGATTGTTAAAATTTGGTGCATAGGGGTAATAAATGACATGGGGCGAACTGTTGTTATAATTACTACGCGTTTCAATAGTGTCAGATAATAATAATGCAAAAATCTAAACCGTTAAAGGGTGTAATCTTTGTCTTTGCGTTCACAACGTGTAGCAATATAGCTTTTCCTACTTTATAATATTATCCCTACCCCTCCAATTAAATGTGACCTGATATATTACGTGACCTCGAAATGGCTTCTTACACATCGGTTGTTTGTTGTCGGAGTTCGTTCTGTGATATTCCACGATGGAAACATTGAAAATGATATGATAAAACGATGCCAGAATGTAGCGACAGAAATATCTCTGTTGATATACTGAATGTGTAATAATTCAAGAGTTCTTCATTCGATATGCGCTTCTTAAACTAGCAGATAACTAGAGCTCAACCAAATGTTTATCAGGATGCGTCCGGCCTAAGTAACATTATCCCACCGGTAGGTGGGGCGAGTAGCGAAATTTCTAAGAGTGGAACAAGGAGCAATTTATGACTGTGCGAAGGGTAATTTCTGAACGTGTGAAACGATACGATCAGTTTACAACTCAATTACAATGGTATTGCACACTGCTCGACAAACACAAAATATATTCTGAATATATCTTCAGTTTTCCTCTAGGGTGCGTAGTTCTCTAGTTATAAGAGTACAGACAAACTCAACAACTTTATATAGGATATACCAGCGGGATACCCGGCGTTGCCCGGGGAAATCAGTGGCGTTACTCAGCTGGTGACCGCTTGGAAAATACCCCAACAAGGAAAATACCCCAACAAATCTATCTATCTATCTATCAATGCATCCATCCATGCATCCATCCATCAATCCATCCCATTCCATGCCATGCCATTCCATCCCATCCCATCGCACCGCATCCCATCCCATATCCCATCCCATCCCATCTCATCACATTCAGTGCCATGCCATGCCATGCCATGCCATGCTATGCCATCCCATGCCATCCCATCCCATCCCATCCCATGCCATCCCATCCCATCGCATGCCATCCCATGCCATCCCATGCCATCCCATGCCATGCCATCTCATCCCATCCCAAACAGTAAAAAATAATCAGAAATCAAAAGATAAAAGACATAAATAATATAATTTATTACATAAATAAATTAATAAATTAAAAATAAATTAAAAATTAAAAATAATACATACTAAAGTGGTAGGTAAAGGGAAAAAAGGAAAAAAAAGAAATCTAACTATCTATCTATCCATGCATCCATTCATCCATCCATCCCATTCCATGCCATGCCATCCCATCCCATCGCACCGCATCCCATCCCATATCCCATCCCATCCCATCCCATCTCATCACATTCAGTACCATATCCCATGCCATGCCATGCCATCCCATGCCATGCCATCCCATCCCATCCCATCCTATCCCATCGCACCGCATCCCATCCCATCCCATACCATCCCATCCCATCGCATAAAAAATTTAAATAATACATACTAAAGAGGTAGGTAAAAGGAAAAAATGAAAAAAGGAGAAATAAGTTCCCCAGCTGGGACTCGAACCCGGAATCCAGGTGTAGCAGACGGATTTTGTACTGATGAGCCCACTCACTGCATGCGCCATCACGTTTATACACCATGGATTCAGACGGGATGTTGTGTGTACGTACGTGACCGCCATCTATTGATCAATATAATTTTTTATGAATGTTTCACTTTTTAACTTTTTAAAATTTTTGTTTTAGCCAGAACTACCTCCCAGACGTGCTGATTCTGAAAATATCTTTAGTTTTCCTCTAGGCTGCGGAGTTCTCTAGTTATGCGTGAACACACTAATTCGGCTGAACAACTTTATATATATAGATATATAGATAAATAGCGAGAAAGATATATGCATTGCAGTTTTCGATTAAATAACACTATGATGAACGCATAATTATATTACAGGAAGATGGCGCTCGTGCGTCGGTCACCGTTGACTGCCAAGAGAATTTTCTTCAGCCGTTCTTATACGTTCCAACTGGTTACGGAAGATGGCGCTCGTGCGTCGGTCACCGTTGACTGCCAAGAGAATTTTCTTCAGCCGTTCTTATACGTGTAAAGTGGAGCCGGCCGAGCTGACAGCACGTGTGCTTAGTAAAATCCGATGTATAATATTCACTTTGCTTGCAGTATCACGCCCTGGGTTCCCCGCTATGCTAATGTACATGAAAAAGGGCGCTCCGACTTCGGTCGCCGTTGACTGCCAAGGGAAATTCCTTCCGCCGTTCTTATACGTTTAAAGTGAAGCCGAGCGAGCGGACAGCACGTGTGCTTGGCAAAACCCGTTCTGTAATATTCACTTTGCTCGCGGCATCACGCCCTGGGTTCCCCGCTATGATATTGAACATTAAAAAGCCGCTCAGCTGAGGTCGGTCGCCGTTGACTGCCAAGAGAGTTGTCTTCCGTCACACTTATAGATTCAAAGTGGATCCGGGAAGGCCGACAGCACGTGTGCTTGGTAAAATCCAATCTATAATATTCATTTTGCCCGCGGCATCACGCCCTGGGTTCCCCGCTATGTTAATGTACGTGAAAAAAGGCGCTCCGACGTCGGTCGCCATTGACTGCCAAGGGAACTTCCTTCGGCCGTTTTTATACGTTTAAAGTGGAGCCGGGCGTGCTGACAGCACGTGTGCTTCGTAAAATCTGATCTATAATATTCACGTTGATCGCAGCATCACGCCCCGGGTTCCCGGCTATGCCTACATCACTGTACAGGGAGATGGCGCTCGTGCGTTGGTCACTGTTGACTGCCAAGATAATTTTCTTCGGCTGTTCTTTTACGTTTAAAGTGGAGCCGGATGAGCTGACAGCACGTGTGCTTGGTAAAATCCGATGTATAATATTCACTTTGCCCGCAGCATCACGCCCTGGGTTCGCCGCTGTGCCTTTATTAATGTACAGTACATAATTTATTATCCGAGTTCGTCTGCCCACCAAAGCTCGCGTTTGGCTGCATAAGGTTCACTGCAGAAACTAAGGTTCTGCATAATGTTCTGCATAAGGTTCACTGCTTGACATTACTTATATATGTAGTGTACTGTACCGGTACAGCACTTGGCCTCTTGAAAACTTGGGTTTTAGTACTGGTTATAGTTGTAGGATAATGGATATTCAGTATGTATATCTGTTCTGTACTACCATTCCGAAATCCGAAAATGCCGAATTCGGAAACGTGTCTGGTCCCAAGGAATTCGGATAATAGATTCTGTGTACTGTATAACAATATAACGCAATGCATACTAGGAACATTAAATCTCCCATATATTCTAACAGATTTTTAGTTAATAGAAAGAAAAATTATGTTCAGCTTAGTTTTACAAGAGAAGCACCAGTTCAGGAAGCCAAGCGACATGCCAGGACTGTAGCTAGCGGTAGAGGCGGGGGGGGGGGCTAAAGGGCATTTGCCCTCAAAGAAATGTAGATATATTACATCAAGAGCGTATTAAGTATACTTAATGCGCTCTTGATCCTACATGGTCAATGGCGGTCACCCTCTTAGAACACGCCACGCACGTGGCTTGCACCCCCTCAGCAAAATGGGTTAGCTACGCACCCTAATCGTGTAGTTACTTTATGTTCGATATAGATTTTCTAAGGCAACACTGACCGACTGATACTAATTAGCTTATTACGTGCTATATAGGTCTTACGCAAATCTTGGCATATACTTCGACAATTTCTAGCTAAAACTGTTAAGGGTCAGAGGCACGCGTGCACAGTTAATCGCCAGCTATGCTAATGTAGACCTACATACGAATGGCGGTGACATCGCTCGCCGCCTTGAGAAGAAATGCCGGTCTACGATTAGGATTTTAGTAATTGTACGATATCAGTGTTGAAATAACATGACATGCCGCGGCAAACATTTAGAATGATAGTAATTACAGCGTACCGGTGGGGAAACAGAATGACATACCGCGGTATACATTGATCATTAGTGTGCAAAAAATCAACATCACAATTTCATCTACATTTATTATAATAATAATTCCAACAGGGCCTATGTCATACACTGTGTAAAATAACAAACATCGCAGTTCGGTATAGATGTAGCATAACAGTAATTACAATATGTCAATTTAGAAATAACTCAAATGAATATCTCTGCTATATAGGCCTACATTAAAAATAATAGTAAATACAGTGTATTATTTTGAAAATTATTTGCCTGATATTCCGCGATAGCTAGGCCTATGCAACCCAGCTGGCACTCAACCTAAATTCAACGTTGAAATTTGGTTGAAATACCACTGTTGTTAATGAAACGTTGATTCAACGATGAATCAACGTTGAATATTCAACGGTTGAAACAGTGTCGACAAATCACCGTTGAAACAACGTTGAATATTCAACGGTTGAATATGCGTTGAATGTTGTAGGCTACGTTGAATCAACGTTGAATATTCAACGGTTGAAACAGTGTCGACAAATCACCGTTGAAACAACGTTGAAATTTCAACGTTGAATATGCGTTGAATGTTGTACGTTGAATCAACGTTGTGATAACAACATTTAGTCAACAGTTGAAAAAGAATTGCTAAGTCAACGTTGAAACAACGTTGAAATTTTAATTATTAACTTATTAACTTATTTTCTTTATTAAGAAGTTGTGGTATCTACTCAAGATAATTCCATTCGTCATACATTTCACATTTGCCGGGGGATTTGTTTCTACCTCCCCTCCCCACAAACCCCATAGCCCAACGCCGCCTGCGTGTTTTTTTCCCGTACTACTAATGCGTAAAATCGCCACCACACCATAGACGGTATTTGGTACTATGACACTTGTATATAAGATAATCGAGTCGGTTTACAGTTACGGTTAGGGTTAGGGTTAGGGTTTGGGTTTGGCACAGGGTGACTGTTTAATATATAGCCCGCGTACAGTTCCATCGGCAACTGTACGCGGGCTATAGTTACTAGAGGTACGAAAAGCAGTGATTAACACTAGAAAAGTTATCACATGTCACTTGGCTATACAAACTTACTGCCACTGCCGCACATAAGGTCTACGTCCCCCTGACCTCTGTTTGACCTGGCTCGTTTAGCTATTTCTGACTAATATATATTTTTCTCAACACTAGGAAGTATGCAACAAACA